AAAATGACGATTTAAATTACCAAAACAAATAATCAAGTTAAGCAATATTTAATTAAATATAGGAATATTTTTAATAGAATTACAAGTGTATAATTCAAAACTAACATAAAGAAAATAAACTACTATTGAAAACATAATTTAAATATATTATTACAATTGTATTCAACGAAGTTTCATATCCTGAAACGTTTTTATGATAGACTCATTAGAAATAGTACGAAATACTTTCTTTTCTACATAAGGCACTATACAACCGTCTAAAAACTCATCATCCATTCGATTTTGCAAGTCATTTTTAGAGTATTTAAATCAATGCTTTGTTTTTTGAGAAGAATGTAACAACATCTCTAATTGATCTACCGTTCTTTCTTTATTTGGATGACTTCGAGAAGAAGTCGAACTTTTTTTTGGTACTCTATTATAATAATTCGTCATGTCTATTGAAACTTGAAGCTAAAATATTAAGTTGGTTATTTTTGTTATAAAATAAGAGAACGAGAAGAAAAAACAGAGAGAGAATTATTGAGATTCTATTCTTAATAATATTGTGATATTGGGTAAATGAGTCTCCTATTTATAGAGAAAGAAAACCTTATTCCATAAGGGAAAAGTATTAAAATTTAAGGAAATCTTATTCCATAAGGAAAAGGTATTAAAATTTAAGGAAATAATTCAATTTTAATTGAAAAACATCCACAAGAAAAAATATTAAATTCAAGGAAATCTTATTACTATAAGGAAAATGTATTAAAATAATTTAATTTTAATTGAAAAAAATTAGTTAGTAGAGGAGGGATTCGAACTTGGGTCTTGGAGACCTTCATGATACTATTAACCACCAAGCTATTGAACTTTTATGTTAAATTACGCATGTTATTTACTTAATTGAATTCAAGAAGTCAAAATAATTACAGAAAAAGAAAACATCCCTGCGGGGAATAAAACTGGGACAAAAGGTAGGATTGCACAGGCTATTGCCAACTCCATTGCGCATCACTTTGTTATTTCAGGGGGTCCAAATTCTATATATACCAATATAAAGTCAAAATTGTACGTGTATTTATAGTATAATTTTTCGACTTGGACACCCTGGAACCTACGTGACTCCGCCCCTGCCGGATGGGATGGGCTAGCCCATATTGACAGCTCTAATGACTTCTATATACTTCTCTCTTCTCGAAAGCTATACATCATAATCAGCTACCAACCAATTCTTTTAGTAATATTAGATAACATTAATTAAAAGCAGAACAGTGTGGAAATATGGTTGCCAACTTGCCATAGTACTAGTCACCATGCCTGGGAATTAACTCCGAAGAGATCTGCCACCAAATTAAAGTTTACAATTATATGCATGTTCCTTGCATCTTTATCTTTTGTTATTTTAATAATACATTCTAAAATAAAACAATATAATACACCTCACAAAAAATACAAATTTTAAAAATTTAATTAATCACAACTAAGTGATA